GCCCCATCCACACCGTTCCCAGCTGTGCTCACCTGAGGAACTGGGCACCAGCGGGTCCCAGGGCAATGATCCGGCTGACCAGACCCTCCTCCTCAGCCAGCGATGGGGGTGCAGGCAGCTTCTGGGGCTTCACCAGGCGGCAAGTGATGCGAGTTGGCGCGGCACAGGCACGAGGCGGGATGACTACACGCAGTCCGTGGTGCCGGCTGCCCCGCATAGACCCGCCACGGGCATCCACCATGAAGCTCACCAGGAACCTGGAGCAGACAGAGGCACGAGCAGTTGGGCACCCTGCAGCTGGCTCCCGTGCAGAGTGCACGTGCCGCACAGGCTGGGCACTCACCCTGTGTGCACAGGGCTGGCCACGGGGCTGATGTTATCTGAGGTCTCAGTGGCGGGGCTGCTGGGGATCAGGGAGTCCTCATCAAACTCCTTGGAAGGCTGTGTAAGGCAAGAAAGAGCCCCCATGGGCACAGCGTCCTCTTTGAGGGTGCTGTCCTCCAGTCTCACAACCCTCCCTGGGCAGTCCCATACCAGCAGGTTCACCCCCACTACCCACTGCACATTTTGGCTCCATGGTGATGGAGGGGTTTCCCCCAGCAGAGAATGCCTGAGGTGGCTGTGGAAGGCTGTGTCTCATGCTCACCTCCTGTGGGGACACTGAGGGTGCATGCAGCAGGCTGACTTGCTCAGCTTCTGTCTCCACAGGTCCTACCTGTTCAGTCTCCTCCGCTCTGGTCACTACAGTCTCAGGTGGGATGCAGGGGACTTGCACGACAGCTGGAGACTCCACCCTGGCAGGAGAGGGCAGTGACAGCCACTGAAGTGGCAGGCCTGGGCCCCCTCGGCCCCCTGCTGTTCCCAGGGAGTCCTGGGGCTGCTGAATGAAGGCAAACTCAGCAACAGACCCATGTTCTGGTGCAGGAACACCACCAAGTAGCTTTGCCTGCCAAGCCAGCTGGTGGGGGCACAGTGACCCATTCCTTGCCCAGATCTGTCCCTGCCCCGCTAGCATCCCAGCCCAGCACCAGGCTGGCCCCATGTCCCGTACCTGCTCCCTTCCCACAAGCCAGTGCCTCTTACGTTTGCTCCATTGTTGTTGTGGTCACAAACTCCAATATCTCTCTCTTGCCATCCTGGTCCCTGGGATCTAGCGTCCTGGGCTTTGGTGCCATCAGCTCCTCCTCTGAAAACGATAGCTGGCTCAGCATGCAGAGAGGCAGAAGGGCAAGGCAGCACAGACGCCCAGCCCTTGACCCCATCCCTCCTCAGAGCTGGAGTCAGGGTCCACTTCCACTCCCACTGCTGGACACATACACTCATCCCCTGGGTCTCAGCCATCCGTGGGGCAGTGCTGCCTCCTACAGCGTTTGGCTCCAAAGGGAGGGAGTCTAGCGCCTCCCAAAGCAGGGAGAGAGCTCCAGAGATGGAGAGGGGACAGCAGCACAGAGACCCTCACACACTCAGGTCCATCCCTGCCCTGCCCAGGATGGCACAGGGCACTTGCGAAGGGGCACCGGTGTTTGTCATAGAACCAGACTCTTACACCTACTGGGCACAGGGCCTGGGGCCAACAGGGAGCCAGG